AGGGGTCTGTACTCTGTAGTATGTATGTAAATAAATACTCTGTATTTACTCTATGATTATCCAGGTCCCCAGACCCCTCTATCGAGAGGGCGTCTACAGGAGTGGGGGGAATGATTACCCCGTAGGGACCCCACTGCCCCAGCGGCCAGTCTCAAGCCAGAGACCAATGTTGAGAACTTGAGTCTTGAGTGTTGTTCATCAGAAAGACAGTGACTCATGTGAGTCATGAGTCATGAGTTCTGTCATCAGTGACGTCAATTGTTGAAAAAGCCTGAGCATTTTGTTTTGTTTTTAGAAAAAAAGACTAAAAGGCAAGTTCGCCGCTTCACTATTTGAGAAATATCAACATTTACTCGGGATACTGGCGTTTCTATAGAATAGAATGTTTGTATTGTTGTGAACTGACAAAATACAATCGAAGAAACCATCGCAGATCCGAGTTACTTGTTGAATGAATAAAGGGCTCCAGATATAGTTCGATGAATATGGACGTTCATGTAATAGTCCCAACTGAAGTTTGTGTCAGTCTTGCCTGCAGAACCAATTTTTGGTGGACAATAGCAGCTTTTGTTGAAGTTCAATGAGTTATCCGCACTTTGGCGGGACTACTACATATAGTTTGGTTACTATATGTAGTCTACAAGAAGATAATGGGTATATAAGTGCAGTTTCTTGCTTTCGAAAGTACACTTAGGTGTAGCAGAGGCGGTGTCCTTTTTATAGAAGTTGATATGATGTTTGGTGGATTATCATGGTACACTATGGTGCTTCTCCAAATTGCGGTTGTAGCGGGAGAAAGTATCTGTTACAGTTCCGAGCCTACGTGTATCAATAACAATTGCCAGGACATCACTCCGAACTCAAATCAGTGTCTCGCAGGTAGCTACAACGTTTGTTCCTGCATTGCGACTACTTCAGAATTTGACATGTTTTCATTTCGACTTGATAACTTTTTTGCTTCTGAAATTATAAATGTCGAAAGGTATACTTGCTAATTGGATACCTTGTTCACAAAAATTTACTGCACATGTACACAAGGGCCTATATCAAACTCTTATCTGAAGCTGTACCGACAACAAACTGGGTCGTACCGAGCAGAATGGTTTGTGGATCCTTTTTGTCTAGCTATTGCCCTCAATACCAACTTCGAATCTGACGAGTGTGCGCCACTTAATTTACCTGTCATTGGAAACCTCTTCTATATGGTGACGGGTGGCCCCGTTCTGAATTCTACTGCCAACGCGGTCCCGACCGATATGGCAGGTATGTCAGTTGCTTACAACGGTATACCATGCCATAAAACAACACATGCCAATATTGGTCAATCTAGTAGATTCACAATTGTCGACGCAACAGCCCTTATACTTCCCTTTTCTCTTTCAGAACCAACAAATATGTTGTCACCGAACAACGCCGCTGAAGTCGCCAATGAGAGCCTTAGCAGTATGGAAGCTGAGACTCATACTATAGTGGTGACAGTTACAGAGGGAGCAGAGATGGTCGTCTTTGAAAATTCTGGTGCGATTGTGTCTGCAAGATTCTGTGCCTGGTCATTGTTTCTTGTGCACCTGCTGTATCATGTGATGTAGCTATACACGCAGTTTCATCCGTGTGTTGGAAAATCTAACAAAATGAACAAAACCTGTCACTTCAAATAACAATGTATAACCCTAAACCCTAAATTTTATTACCGAACTTGATGGAAAGATATGAAATAAATAAATAAACAATTCCGAGTTTATTGTTCACGTGATATTTGTCATACATATAAATATGAAGTTCATATTGTATGTCAACTTGAGAGATCCCCAGTTTACCATTTCGCAATGATGCCTTTGTCGTCTATATTGATCCGATCGCATACACTTGCGGCGCGTCCTGGGTCGAGAATCGGTATACACAGACAACAAAAAGCTTTGAGACGTACTTTAGCAACCGCGTCGCTGAGCACCAAGTTACCGGGCAAGGTTAAAATCCACTTTGCGGAGAATGAGACACATGAATAGTACGTTTGTGGGCACGAGTTGTTTGTTTTTCGCATTATATAACCTATGACTTGAAGTTAATGACCATTGTCAGACACTATCACAAGAGAACACTATTCTATTCTCACATTAGAACACCTCATTGGAAGAAGTTCGAACTATTTACTTTCTGATCCCTTTTGGTATCATACATACATACATACATACTTACATACATACATACATACACACACACACACACACACACACACACACAC